GAAATAAAAGGCCCCTCACTCCCCTCCAGCCCTGCTGGTGACCTTCACTCTGCCCCCGAACACCCCTCATGCTGGTACCCCTCTGTTCCCACTGCCCTCCCGCCCTGCCAGATAGGGCCCCCAGCTATCCACAGTCTCCTGCCCAAGGCAGCAGCTGCTGCAGCAGAGCCCTGCTCCCCCGCTGCTGCCTGCTTGTTGTGGGTTTGGCCGGAGGGAGGGAGGCTCCCCACCACTGCAGGCATTCCCAGGGGGCAAAGGGGACCTGTGGCCCCCAGATCTGTGCATGTGGTGGGGGTGAGTTGCCCGCTGTGGCCCCCACAGCCTGGTGGATGTGACCTGGCACTGCAGGGAATAGTATGGCTGTATGGGGAAGCTCATTGGCACTGTGAGCTCTGCGCTGCCCTGGCAAGGTGCCCCCTGTGCATGTAGCAGCAGCAGACACTGCGGCATGGAACTGTGCACCTCAGTGCTGCCACATGGGCAGGATGCATTGTCAGGGCAGTGCAGAGCTTGCAGTGGCGTACAACTTCCCTACGCAGCCATACTATTCCCTGCAGTGCCGGGTCACACCTATTGGGCTGTGGAGGCGCCAGGAGAGGGAGCCCATGCTCGCCCCATACACAGATCTGGGAGGCATGGGTTACCCCCTGCCTCCTGGGTGTGTGTGCAGTGGTGGGGAGCTGGCTCTGCCCCCTAGACAAGCTGCCCATGGCCCCATCCCGCTCCCTGCCAGGGCCCTGCAGCTGTGCATTACAGCCCTGGGCCCCAAGCACTCCTGGCTCCAACTCCAGCCCCTCCCTCCATTGGCTTCAATCCCCCCCACCCCCTCACCTTACTTACAGGAGGCTGCTCTCCAGGCTGCCTAGCAGCCATGTGCACATGGTGCCCCCCGCCTGACTGCCCTCCTCTCAGCAACCTGCAGGCTGGAACCCTGCCAGCTTGCAGAGAGCTCTCTGCAAAACTGAAAAATCCACAGGTTTCGCTGTTAAAATGAAAAATCCATGTTTTCCTCAAGTAAAGGGGGAAATCTGTTTTTCCTGTTTTCCCATGGGAAACAGAAAACCTGTATCCCAGGTTATGATTCAACTCAATTTACATTGTAGGCATACAAAATGGTGGGGATTTATTTGTAATCAGTTTGCACACTGTAATGAGCCAGCAATGTTTCTTAAGCTAACTGCTGCATCTTGGCCAGAAGAGAGTGTATTATTTTCTCTTTAAAATTAAACTAAAGTATAGCTGAGGGACTAATTGAATTTTCAAAGCAACCTTTTGGAAGGCAATTATCCAAAGTCTACTGAAACCACTGGGAAACTCCCCAGCACTTCAAGGGGCAACACTCCCACTCAGCCATGGCCTGCCATGCACATGGGCAGAAGGCTCCACATCCACAGTGAAACAAGTGGCAGATTGCAGGAGCATGTAATGAACCCAATGATTGAGTCAGTTGTAAACAGATGACAAAGTCATGTGTTTGACTCAGAGGCACTGGAGTTTCCTTTTTAAATTAATGAACATATTTAGAGACCAATTATTAGAAATCTCTCTAAGAATTTTACAAAAGAGGCTACAGTTTTCTTCAAATGTTTTACACAAGAGTACACATATGGGGCAGAAAGTTTTGGAGTTGTTAGGGTAGTGTTTGGAAGAAAAGTGCAACTGATACAGGGCATGCAATCAAAATACATCTGTACTTCAGAAAGAGCCAGTATCTGCTCAGTATCCAGATGGTAGTCATTATTATACAGATGCTATTTCATTGGAGTCTAATGTTTAGAATTGCCCAAAGGAAAATCATAATTAAACAATTAATTATTTTCTTGTATGTTTCTCTAAGCCCAGCAACTAGCTTGGCAAAAAACTACTGCTCACAAAATGATGTGCTGTTCCCCCTCCCCTCCACCACTTCCCCCTCTATTTTAATGTGACAGACACATTATACTAGTAAAAACATTTAGCTTCTAATAAAGAAGCAGTTTTGTACCAGACCTCCTTTTACACATGGACAAAAGAAACTCTTACCCGTGTGACATCTTTTATGATATATAAGCATGTGATTCTGTGTGAATCTGGCACCACACTCATCACAGACAAATGGTTTTTCACCAGTATGGATTCTGAAATGAGAAAATGCCATTGAGCTAAAAGGTACATGCTTCTCCTCTGGGTGGG